CTCTTGTAGACCGTGGGCTCTAGGTACCTAGGCTTCAGTAGTTGCAGCTCTAGGGTTCTAGAGGGCAGGCGCAGCGGCTCTGGCACACAGGCTTGGGCTTAGCTGCCCGTGGCATGTAGAATCTTCTTGGACCAGGGTTGAACCCATGTCCCTGCACTGGCAAGCAGATTGCAAACCACTCAATCACCAGGGAATTCCTTGCAATCACTCTTAAAGGTCTTTGTACAAATATCCTTTAAACGTCTAAGAGTTTATATATATAAGACAGGAAGATATAAATAACTTATTGCATGTTTCTATTATAATACTCAGGTTCGCAAGTAGTATTTGGACGGCATTTTAAATAGTATGCACTCTTGTGTTCCCCAAATCTAGCCAGTCCATCAGCCTCAATTGCACATTTACATATAGGGATGGATGTCATTAAGATTGAGAGGGTAACAGGCAGGAAGGCCAGAGGTCCCCAAGCGGCAGGAGGAAATAAACTGCAAGTGGCGTATGTTTTTTCCTTCTCTACACAAAATTAAGAGGCTTCTTTCAATTCTGTATTGAGGACAACTGGTTCTGCTGTGAGCTAACCAGTGCGTTTTTCTTATGTTAATGAAACTATGTATTTGCTTAGGAATTTGCCTTTCTTCAAAATGGTTCTACCTGAGAATAACTTTTTCTCTTTTCTCAAACCTTGGTCTCAACAAACCAGAATTTCTGTCAGTTGTTTTATGGTTGGGCGATGACACATCCCGTGCCATCCTGTCTCAAAGTGCGCATTGCGGACGAGGGGCCTGGTGAAGCTCCCTCAGCCGTGCGGTGTCTCTCTCACTGCATCAGTAGCTTTCCAACAGGCATGAAACTCCTTGCTGAAAACCAGCAAGGGGGCACTCTGTCCCCTTCTGGTGTCTATGTCAGAAGCTTTCTATGTCTCTATTACACTTTAATAAAATTTTGCTACACAAAAAGCTCCAAGTAGTTAAGCCTCGTCTCTGACCCCGTATCGAAATCCTCTCCTCCGGAGGCCGCGAATCCTGGCATTATACACAGCTTACAGCAGCAAGCTTTCAATCTTTCGCTGATTAAGAGAAGAAGATGGAAGAGAAGCTGTAATTTAATTTTAAATACTTCACATATATTTCATTTTAGCCTTTCAAATTTTGAATAATTGGAAACAATTCCTATTTTTTTCTTTTCTACCATTTTTCTTCTTATTTTCCCACTGTTAAAAAAAAAGGAAGGGAAGATGGCAGAAAGGAAGGCAAGAAAGAAGGGAGAAAGTAGTTGACCTTCAGTTTACACTACAGTGGACCCAAGCAGCCTGCTGGGTCAAGGTTTCTTACTATTTCATGGGTGCTGTATGTAGTGCAGACATTTTTTTCAAATAAAGTAGATGGTCATTTCTTTTAAAGCAGTAAACTACATTAGAAAGAAAAAGTGGAAGAATAGTCCTTTATTTTTTTAACTTGGAAGATAAATTTGAAACCCCTCCCATAAAACGGAGGAAGGGACAAAGAATTAAATGTGAGGTTTTCACATTGTCATGAAAGCTGTACACCAAGAATAACAGTTTAATATGTTGCCGGTGAAGAAAGCAGAAAACAAATAGAATTGAGCCTTATCCTTTCTATTGTCCCAGACAAAAATAATGGAAAAAAACCAAGTGCTAGCCACGGGGGAGAAACAGAAAAAAGTACTTAAAGATACAAGAAATGGGGAGTGGGGGAAGATTTATGTAAGTCAATGTAGACAAATAAACAGAAGAAGATTTCCTAAAAGAAAAGAAAAATGAGATTGGCTTCAGCTGTCTCCAGAAAAGTAAGTAAAAGAGGTTCATGGAATAACTGAGAGGGCACAGATAAAAACTAGACTGTGACAATGTGAGAAAGAAACAGAAATGTCAAGACCAAAAGTGAAAATTAGAAAGTGATGGTATAGACATGGTCGAGAATCCATCTGCTATTGCAGGAGACACAAGGAGCCTGGGTTCAATTCCTGGGTCGGGAAGATCTCCTGGAGAAAGAAATGGCACCCCACTCCAGTATCCTTGCCTGGAAAAATCCATAGACACAGGGGCCTAGTGGGCTAGTCCATGGGGTTGAAAAGAGTCAGATACAACTCAGCACAAGCATTTCATCATCAGTAAAGAAACTGATTAAATATAAACTTAATTGCAAATAAATTATAAAACTTAAGGAAATTACCAAAATTCACAGCTGAGAGAGAAAATGGAATACAGAAGTACTAAAATTAGATAGCCTGTTAGCTCATATTTTTTAAATTTTAAATGGGACAGAAAATAAAATTGTGTTTGGTTTAAAATATTGGGATATTCAGAAACCTGAATGAATTTTTTGGCCAACCCAAATACAAAGTGTAAGAAAGCAATGAACAGAAACCTCAATTAAATAGAGATGGGAGACCAGAAGGGGGTGCTCTCACCCCTACAACAGGAAGAACCCAACAGCAAAAGCAAAGACTTCCCCTTCTTCCCCCGGCAACAGATCAGCCAGTGAGAGTCTGCCAGGACTCAGCCAAGGAAAACACCATGGACTCTTTATCGCAGCCGTCTTAGCTTCTTTTCACTCTAAAAAACAGAGGTCTTCTCCATGTTTGCCGAGGACTTGCACAGCCATGCTTACAGACCTCAAATTGTGATTCTTTGTTAATCCTGAATATCCATTTTGCTGGAGAAAAAAACTGGCTGTGTATTTGTTTTAGGTCAGCAAAAGGACATCAAGAGACAAGCTAATTTTTTTTTTAATGAATTTATTTATTGGCTGTGCTGGGTCTTTGTTGCTGCAAGGACTTTTCTCTAGTTGCAGCAAGTGGGCAGTGCATGGGCTTCTCATGGCGGTGGCTAAGAGACAAGCTAATTCTTAATTTTTATAATCAGACAAACAGAGCATAAAGAATATTTTAAAAAAATTAATATAATTACCAGGACTATTTAAAAGGAATAGATGTACTTCCTAGTTGAAAAACATAATATTCCAATGTTCACATTCTCATCTTTTCCATATTTTGAATTTTAGTATTTCCAGACACTTCTCATAACTTCTACTTAGTCCAAACTCCTGTCTTCTCTCACAGATTTACTACAGTAGCCTTCTAGTCTTAGTTGCTCTACTTCTTCCTTTGAACTTTTAGTTTATTCTCAGCACAGCAGTCAGTGATCACTAAAAAATGACATAAGAGTTTATCTCTGCAGTGCCCAGAGCATTCTCTTTCAGAGTCAGATCCAGTGGCATAATGACCAGTAAGAGCCTATAAATTTAGTCCTCTTGCCTCTGATCTCCTAAACTTCTCTGTCTCCTTATTTCTGTTTCAGCAACTGTAATCTTACTGTCTCCTCAATAGGCCAGGTATGCTCCTGCCTTAGGGCATCTGCCTGTTGGTCTGTCAGAAAGCTTTCCACCAGTATTTAGTTTGGCTCACTTCTCATCTTTCGCAGGTCCTTCTTCAAATGCTTGACCCTGTCGGTCAAACATGTCTTAACTTTGTGTAAAATTGTAAAATCGATCTCATCAACGGTCCTGGTCCCCTTTCTTGTTCTTATTAGCATGCATCAGTATCTAAATACATACCATTTATTTATTTTATTTACATAGAGTTGATTTACAATGTTTTGTTAGTTTCTGGTGTACAGCAAAGTGATTCAGTTATGCAGCTATACATATTCTTTTTCAGATTATTTTCCCTTATAGTTTATTACAAGATATTGAATATAGTTCCCCGTACTATACAGTAGGACCTTGTTTATTTTATGTAGTTTGTATTTGAAAGTCCCTAAATTCTAACTTATCCCTCCTCTACCCCTTTTCCCTTTGGTAACCATAAATTTGTTTTCTGTGTCCGTGAATCTGTTTCTGTTTTGTAAATAAATTCATTTGTATCACTTTTTAGATGCCACATATAAGTGATACCATATGATACTTGTCTTTCTCTGCCTGATTTATTTCACTTAGTATGATAATCTCTAGGCCTATGTATTTTGCTGCAAATGGCATTATTTCATTCTTTTTTTCTTTTAATGGCTGAGTTATTTTTGCTATTATTTTTCTTCTTTCTTTCCCTTTGACAATTTAAGCTGCATGAATGCAGAGGCTGTGCCAGTTTTATTTACTAGTTTATTTCTAGCATCTACAACAATGCCAGGTGCAAAACAAGTGTTAAATATACCTTGTTAAATAAATGAATAATGCAATCATACAACAGTGAAAATGAATAAACTTTTCATATATGAAGATAGGTGAACCCAATAAGTTTAGCATGTAAATCACATTCAGCATGTAAGTCACAGAAAAACATATAGCAGATTCTATTTACATAAAGATGAAACACCTTGCAAAAGTAAGCACATTGTTTTAGGGGCACCTACTTGAGATGTACTAATCAGGCTAAGCCAAGAAATGCTTAACACAGTATAGAAAAATCGGGAGCATCGTGGACAGGTCTTCCAAGATTCTGGTCAAGTTCTCTTTTGAAGCAGAATGTTAAGTATATGGGTGTTAGTTTTATTATGCTTAAACATACCTGTTCATACATTATCCTCCGTGTACACATTAAAATAATTAAAAATAATCAAAACTAACTGGTAGGAGCTAGGGCGCACAGACCTTAAAGGCGTCAAAATTCAGGGGTTTTATTCAAATGATGTTGCCCGTCTAACAAAACAAGTCACGCGGCTGATTTAGGCAGCAAGCATTTTGGAGATCACCCGCCTTATTTGTGAACGCTCCCTCGCAGGGCAACCCCAGCGCACAGCTGGGCCCAACAGCTCCCCGCAAGAGAGAACGTTCCCATCTCGTAAGTGGCGGCGCCGGCGGCGCCCCTGGGAAGTGTAGTAGCCGCGAGCCCATAGGCATGCCGGGAGTCGTAGTTCTCCTGCGTTTGCGGGGTTGCAAGGAGGGCGCGCGGCTTTCTCGGGGCTCGTGGCGCGGGTGGCCCCGGCTCTGCTAGGGAGGCCTCCCAGGGACTGAGAAGCTCTCGGTTGCATCTGCCGGTGGCAGTCAGAGCCAGCACGTGTGCGGGTCCGGGCTAGGAGGCGTGCCGGCCGGGCGGGGCTGCGCGCAGGCACGAGGGAGATACCGAGGCCGGGAGGGTCTGGAGGCGGTCTGCACGGCCCAGGCCGCGATGCTTCTCGGGGAGTCGCTGCCCTGCCCCCACCTGTACCCCTCCCGGGGGAGCGTCGCGGGGAGGGAGCGCCCAGGCAGGTGAGTTGGGGTGGCCCGGGACTGCTGTTGGTGGGAGTCTTTTGTGGCTGGCTTTTCAGAGGTTTCTGGTGAAACGGACAGTAACAACAATGGCAATGCCTATGGAGACCTTATTTGTGCCGGGTACTAATCCGGCACCTGGGATGAATGAACTCATTTCAACCTCAGATAACAGGTAGATCCTGTTTTACAGATGAAGAAAATGAGGCACCGGCGGACAGCTAATTTGCCCATTAACCGGGGCCTTGGACTCCACCATGATCCATTTTGCCTCTACTGTATACTTAGCAGTTTTGTTTCTTGGGGAAGGTCACTAGACTCCCTGGTTCTCAGTCTCCCTCACATCTGTAATATGAGGTAGCAATACTTTCTAGAGTGGTTGTGCGGATTAAATAATACATGCAAGATACAAGATGGGGAGAAGACGTGCATCATAGAGCAGCCATGGCACTGATACAGCAGCTTACCTTCTCTGGCTGACTTTACACAGCATACTCAGTTTGTTGAGCTTTCATGCCAGGTGCTATACCTGTGGAACCTACCGCAAACTTAGGTGGCTGGTGCAGGCAGCCTTGGCCACCACTCTTCTCTGACAGTGGTCTGCCTGCTTCTCTTACCTTGCTTTCCCAGTTATGAAGAACAAAGGATATGGGGAGCTGTGCATGCTGAAAGAGGTGGCATCTGTGGAATTTGTGTTTAGGCGTGGCATCCGAAACGGTGTGCATTACATGTGCCAGCCCCCTGGGAAGAACACGGCAGTCCAGGAAGGAGCCACTCGGAAGCCCCTGCATTGGCCTTTCTGTTGCGGGAAGGGGAGCCCTTCCAGGGCCTGAAACTGGGCTCTTGTCTAACACTCAGAAATGAATTGTCCGAGGAGACACGTGTGCTTGCAAAGCAAGAGATTTTATTGGGAAAGGGAGCCCAGGTGGAGAGCAGGAGGGTCAGGGTCAGGGAACCCAGGAGAACTGCTCTGCCACATGGCTGGCAGTCTCGGGTTTTATGGTGATGGGATTAGTTTCCAGGTTGTCCTTAGCCAATCATTCTGACTCGGAGTCCTTCCTGGTGGTGCACGCCTTGTTCAGCCAAGATGGATGCCAGCGAGAAGGATTCTGAGAGGTGTGGACAGATGGTGTCTCCTTTTGACCTTTCCTGAACTCTTCTGGTTGGTAAAGCCTTATTAGTTCCCTGTTCCTTACCAGGACGTCCTGTTGTAAAACAACTCATGCAAATGGTTACTATGGTGCCTGGCCAGGGTGGGCGGTTTCAATCAGTGTGCTTCCCCTAACAACTCCATAGAAAAAGAGATGACACGTGTGGGCAAGCTCCTTTATTGTGGTCTCTTCAGGAAGGAAATGGTGAAGCAAGGCAAACAGGCTTAGGATTGGCTAGATATGTTTGAAAAGTGGCAGTCTGGGGCACTCATATTCGCTGTGAACGTTTGAATGTATAGTTTAAAGCTATCTTTAGGACGCCAGAAGTCTGTGATGAGTCGCAGATTGCTTAGATATAGCTAATAGAGCCCAGTGGATGTTAAAAGCATCTATATATGGAAATTAGAAGTATGGTTAATACAAGGCAAAGGTGGAGGTTGGCAAATTGTCTTAGAACTTAATTGGCTTAGCAGGCATACTTTTAGACTTGGTTTGTGTCATTTGTATGGTGTGGCTTTGTTTGGCTCTAATGGACATTATGGGTAGTTGTAACTTCATTTTTCCAAGCCATGCTTTGACACCAGAGTTCTTCATGACACCTTTTTTTCTTTGCAGACCTACTTTGTCAAGCACTCTGCTCTCCCTTGACAGGAAAACTGAGAAGGAAAGAATGGCCTTGGATTTGCTGCCTGCTCAGATGACAGTAAGTAAATTTTGTCTTTTTCATGAATTTCCCACTGTGTTCAGAGATGGTGGACATATTTCCATTCTTTGTCCAGCTACTCTACTTTCCAGTGAAAACTGTGGCTAATCTAGAGTCTGATAGGTTTTTCCCGTGATCCTGGACATATGAAGGGGTTGCTGAGGAATGTGCATCCTCTGTCCCTAAACAGAGGTCACTCTTAATTCACCCCCAAACTCACTTCATGACCAAAGATTGAGTCGGCTCTGAACATAGGCTTCCAGATAGGATAGGTGCCTGGTGAGGAGTACGGGGTATAGGCAATCTTTATCTTCACAGGTGACAGAGTATCACTGGAGCAAAGCCTTGGAAGGGCCACGAGACACGCTTGGCAGGCATTTGTGGAGCTCTGACAGTGTACAGGGTACTGTGCGTGGCGTGCGGATACAGAGGAGAGGTGCTATTTCTGTCCTCGGGGAGTTTGGTGCTGATCTTAGGAGATGACCGAATGCCCAAGAAAATTCAGGGGAGAGATTGGAGAAGGGTTATTTTGAGCTGGTACTGAAGGTTAGGACTGATACCTGCGGGGCGTCACAGAAGGAATTGGACTTGACCTCAGCTCTCAGGCTGGCACTGGGGAGGACAAAGGACTCCCTCTTTCCTGGCACTTTCTCTGCCTTGTGCAACTGTGATGCTAAGCCATCTCATGTCCGTCTCATCCACTGGGTGCCTCTATCTCCTCCTCTTCTGTTTTTTCCCTGCTGTTTCAGATCCCCCTCCAGCTCTTGTTTCTTGGTCCTTTTGAGATCTCTTTTCATTGTTTAACGCTCATTTTTCTCAGGATCTTTATCGGATCTCCCTCCTCAGACCTGAACTTTTTCCTAAAGACCCAGTCCGTCATTCCCAAGCCCTTATGGCACACTTCTACGTGGAAGCTCCGTCATTCTCCCAACACCAGCTTTCTTCCCTTCTTTGTCACTGGCTGCTTTTCTAGAAAGTAGTGGCAGCCCACAGTTTGAAAACGTGGACTCTGGAAGTTGATTTTATGAGTCCACATGTGGACTAGGAATGTGACGAAATAAAATTATTTTCTCCCTCTGTGCTTCGCTTTCTCATTTGTAAGTGTGGTTAGTAATATACATGTCTCGTTTAAACTTGCTGATAGAGGACTGCTAGTATCTGCATTTTACAGATGGGGAAACTGGGGCACAGAGAAGCAATTAACTTAATCACAGTTTTGTTGTTGTTCAGTTGCTCAGTTGTGTCCAACTCTTTGCGACCCCATGGACTGCCGCACGCCAGGTTTCCCTGTATTTCACCATCTCCCGGAGCTTGCTCAAACTCATGTCCATAGAGTTAGTGACGCCATCCAACCATCTCATCCTCTGTCGTCCCCTGCTTCTTCTGCCTTCAATCTTTCGCAGCGTCATGGTCTTTCCTAGTGAGTCAGCTCCTCACATTAGGTGGCCAAAGTATTGGAGCTTCAGCTTTAGCCTCAGTCCTTCCAATGAATATTCAGGATTGATTTCCTTTGGGATTGACTGCTTTGATCTCTCTGCAGTCCAAGGGACTCTCAAGAGTCTTCCAAAACAGCACAGTTCAAAAGCATCAGCTCTTAGGCATTCAGTTTTCTTTATGGTCCAGCTCTCACATCCATACATGACTACTGGAGAAAGCATAGCTTTGACTAGATGGACCTTTCTCAGCAAAGTAATGTTTCTGCTTTTTAATATACTGTCTAGGTTTGTCATAGCTTTTCTTCCAAGAAGCAAGTGTCTTTTAATTTCATGGCTGCAGTCGCCATCTGCAGTGATCTTGGAGCCCAAGAAAATAAAGTGTGTTACTGTTTCCATTGTTTCCCCATCTATTTGCCATGAAGTGATGAGACTGGATGCCATGATCTTCGTTTTTTGAACGTTGAGTTTGAAGCCAACTTTTTCACTCTTCTCTGTCACCTTCATCAAGAGGCTCTTTAGTTCCTCTTCACTTTCTGCTATAAGGGTGGTGTCATCTGCATATCTAAGGTTATTGATATTTCTCCCTACAATCTTGATTCCAGCTTGTGCTTCATCCAGCCTGGCATTTCACATGATGTACTCTGCATATAAGTTAAATAAGCAGGTTGACAGTATACAGCCCTGACGTACTCCTTTCCCAATTTTGAACCAGTCCATTGTTCCATATCCAGTTCTAACTGTTGCTTCTTGACCTGCATATAAGTTTCTCAGGAGGCAGGTAAGGTGGTCTGGTATTCCCATCTCTTGAAGAATTTTCCACAGTTTGTTGTGATGCATAGTCAAAGACTTTAACGTAGTCAATGAAGCAGAAGTAGGTGTTTTTCTGGAACTCTCTTGCTTTTTCTATGATCCAATGGATGTTGGCAATTTGATCTATGATTTCTCTGCCTTTTCTAAATCCAGCTTGAACATCTGGAAGTTCTTGGTTCACGTACTGTAAAAGCCTAGCTTGGAGAATTTTGAACATTACTTTGCTAGCTTGTGAGATGAGTGCAATTGTGGGTAGTTTGAACATTCTTTGGCATTGCCTTTCTTTGGGATTGGAATGAAAACTGACCTTTTCCAGTTCTGTGGCCACTGCTGAACTTTCCAAATTTGCTGGCATATTGAGAGCAGCACTTTCACAAGATCATCTTTTAGGATTTGAAATAGTTCACCTGAAATTCCATCACCTCCACTAGCTTGGTTCGTAGTGATGCTTCCTAAGGCCCACTTGACTTCACACTCCAGGATGTCTGGCTCTAGGTGAGTGATCACACCATTGTGTTATCTGGGTCATGCAGATCTTTTTTTGTATAGTTCTTCTGTGTGTTCTTGCCACCTCTTCTTAACATCTTCTGCTTCTGTTGGGTCCATACCGTTTCTGTCCTTTATTGTGCCCATCTTTGCATGAAATATTCCCTTGATATCTCTAATTTTCCTGAAGCAATCTCACAGTAGTAGAGCTGACTTTTGAACCCAGACAAGGCAGTCTATACAGTTAACATGCTCTGAAAAAGTATATGTAGAGTATTAAGAGCAGCTCATGGTACAGATTAAATCTCAATAAATGCTACCTGTCACTCTTGTTAGTTACAGCATTATTTTAGGATCTGCCAGATTTGGTCCTAAAATCTCTAGGGTAGACTTTACTTCGATTCTTTAGTTATAAGAAGATGAATGTTTCCAGAAACCAGAATGTAAAATCAGCACAATGCACTGCAAAGCAAAACCCAGCAGTAACCTGGGCTACCCTCTGTCAAGAGGTAGAACTTCCACTGTCTGAGCTTGCCCACACCCCCAAGCTGGAGAGACTTACTTGATTTTGGCTAAAGGAAGATGTAGAGAAGTGTGTTTGCAACACAGAACCAGTGGAGATGCAAATCGTGGACCAGTAATTTAGTATCTAACCCTTTTGATTAAGTCTCTTAGAGCTGAAGTGACCCAATTACAGGTCTCATTACTTCATTTGAATCAGTTCAGTGGTAATACTCAATTTCAACTTCTTTCTTCATTAAGGGTCCTAAAAGGCAAATTTCTCTCTGCTGTCTGTAGAAAAATAAAATAGCAAACAAAGATAATTGTTGGAAAAAGCAGGATATGTCCAGATTTTACCAGTATTCCTTATTCTCTTCTATTTCCATGCAGCCTATAATTTATCTTGTGCGGAAAAGGTACATAGGACTTGGTGCTATTAATTTATAGTTTGTCAGTTAACTTTTTTTGGGCAGTAAATCAATATTTGTTTTTGTTATTGTCACTATTTTTAAAATTATTTTTCAGGATAGTTTCATATTGCAAAGATACTACCATAATTACCGTACACCCTGTACCCAGTTTTCCATATTACTAACATTTTGCATTATTATGAAATATTTATTGTAATTAATGAGCCAGTATTGATACACTGTCATTAACTAAAGTCCATGCTTTATTTGGATTTCTTTAGTTTTTCTCTGAAGTCCTTTTTCTGTTCCAGGATCCCATCCAGGATGCCACATTACATTTAGTTGTCATATTTTCCTTAGGCTCCTCCTGGCTGTTTCTCATCTTTCCTCTTTTTGATGACCATAACAGTTTGGAAAAGTGTTGGTTAGATAGATGTTTTGTAGAATGTTCCTCTGTTATGGTATGTCTGATGTTTTTCTTAATGTAGGGCTGAAGTTAGAGGTTTTGGGGAAAATTACACAGAGGTAAAGTGTAATTCTTATTACATCATCAAAACTACAGATTAATAACATAACTCATCATTGTTGATATTGACCTAGTCACCTAACTGAGGTATTTTTGCCAGGTTGCTCTATGGCAAGCTTTCTTTTTCCATCTGCCCACACTGTCCTCTGAGCAGAAGGCACTATGTGCAGTCCGCATGGGAGGAGGAGGGGGTTATGGTCCATCTCCTTGGGTGTAGAGAATCTACTAAATCGTCTGGAATTCTGAATGGAGGATTGTCACTTCTTCCCCCTTTGTGTCAATATGGATTCACAGATTCTTAGTTTATGTTTTAGGTTATAATCTAGTGCTGCTTCATTTTGTTCGCTCAGATTGTTCCGTCTTTGGTCAGCAGGAGCGCTTTCACTTTTTACTCTGTCCCTGCGACACACCACTAGCAGTGTGTACTTCTTTTGTTTTGCTTTTGGAGCACTTCCTTGCCTTTGGTACTATAAGATGCTCTAGGCGTCCCAGTATCAAAATCAGCTATTTCTCTAGTAGCCTTGGTTCTTTTTCTTGGAGAATGATAGTAAAAAGGAAGATCTGGGCCTTAGGTTTACTCATTGCTACTGGGGTGTCTTTGCTTTTAGATTCTCTTAGCCGACGGGAAATATATGTGTATACTAACCTCTGTGTGTGTGTATGTGTGTGTGTGTATTTTTATATGTAACCATCTGTGTGTGTGTATGTGTGCACATTTCGACATGTAACCACTTGTATCTGTGTTAAGCTATGTATTAGTTCGTGCTGATATCTCCAACTCTAGTTTATCACCCCAGGGATCTTTCTAGCCTGCTCTCCTTCCTTACCTGT